TGTGTGTGTGTGTGTGTGTGTGTGTGTGTGTGTGTGTGTGTGTGTGTGTGTGTGTGTGTGTGTGAGAGAGAGAGAGTCTGATATAGGAGAGGAGTAGTTAGTCAGTCACTGTCTCTGTCAGAAAAACCTGATGAAGTCATAGAAAGAAGCGGATTTCGCTCGGAGTCCGACACGTTTTTTGGACATTGTAAGAGTCAAAAGTCTTAAATGTTGTTACTGTATTTGTGTCTTCATATAAGAACTGATCATGACAGACGAGCTTCCTTTGCCTCATTCAGTCCTGATATTAACGTCCTGAATGATCAGATCAGTGGATCTGAAGTGGACATGTGTCCTGCGTCACATCCTTTTTTCAGAGCGACCACAAACTTGTCCTGGGCCACATATGAAGGACAACATACTCAGCTGACGTCCTCTAAATGAATCAAACGTATTTTTACGATTCTCACTGACCACGTGTTGATTTTAAACTCAGTCAAACTATACAAACTATACTTACAGAGCGGGTGGGAGGTGTTTCGATGGAGAAAATGTCACTTGAGTAAGAAAGACAGATCGTCAGGGGAGGGAGGAAAACAGATTAGTGCATTGGATTATGGGTATGCATCAGGTCAATAGCCCTCAGCTGTGTCTTCACTGGGGTTTCTAGCACCACATACTGGTTGCACGGCAGAAACACATGACAAGTCCGTCCGAGTCTAAAGGGATGAACCAAGGGAGAAAAAGGAGAAGAGGAGGTGAAGATAAAAAATCTTGCAGAGAATAGTTAAATAAACACTCCACATTCAGTAGGCAGAGTAAAGCTCCACAGAGGCTGTATTTACACCCCAGAGCTCCATTCAACACAATTAGCGCCCCAGTTTCCCTCTGAAGTGGAGAGAAAAAGAGGAGGAAGCAATCCCCACCGCTTCGCTAATTAGAGTGTGTGTGTGTACACGACTGAGTGTGTGTGTTATCTCAATCTGTCATTCATTCTTTTGAAGAAAACAACAAAGACACTCGAACACTGGGACTGAAGGAGACAGGAAAGGAAACGAGGAATGAGGAGAAATTGAGGTGTAAGCGAGGGAGTTGAGGAAGAATTTGAGGAAAAAGGAGAACGGGGAGAAGCAAAGAAATCTGGAGTAGAAGGGTGAAAGTTCTTCATTCATTCAGATAAAGTTTGAAATTCTTTGCAGCCAAACATTCAAACCAGCTGAGTTTGTGGAGATTGAATAGTTTGTGGCTGAATTTTGGGAAATGCATATAAATTGCTGCAGCCACAGACTATTTGCATTTGATAGAATAGTTCAGTCACAAGTAATATTGAATATTTCACTCAGTGCAAATAGCTTCAAAGATGAGTCTGACCAAACGTGAATGTGTGTGTGTGTGGCACTGAGCGGAATAAGATGTTTTTCACCCACACTGTTATGTGAAGGGGTTTTGTATTTTTCAGTATCAACATGTCATTATTAAATGTTAAGGTTATGAAACAACAAGGAAGGAATAAGTACATGCTGATGTTTCTGTGAGGCTACAGCATCAGTTTCCTGTTATTCTGCCTCACAGCCGTAACCTCAGGCCAAACAAACATCAAATGGCTAATTCTCACATATCGGTGGATGTAGGAAGTGACGGGTCATCTTGATACTCAGTGAATAGACTGATGTCTCCTGTTTAACTGTTATTATCCATCTGTGCTTTGTCAGAACACCGTGGACAAGCTGATTAAGAAGACCAACCTGGCTCTGCTGGTTGGAACCAACAGCTGGAGAGACCAGTTCATCGAGGCCATCACTGTGAGCGCAGGTAAGGCCAGTGTGTGTGTGTGTCTGTCATGAATCTCACATGCAGGTAAAAAGGGGCAAGTTACTATTAACACTGTTAAATCAGGACAAAACTGTTTGTTCAAATGAAAATAGAGCAGATAATCACTGTGAATAGATATTTGGACAAACAAAATCTTCTCATTTGCTGCTGTTACTATCTTTGAAACTGCATTTCTGTTGGAGCACTGTTTGTCTATAGCCGCTCAATCACTTTAGCACCTTCAAATAACTTTATCCTGTGTGTGTGTGTGTGTGTGTGTGTGTGTACAGTTTGTGCGTTTGTTTGTGCTTCACTTGGCCATCCTGTCAGCCAGCCTTTGTTGGCGAGCTGATGCCGTTAATGAAAAGGCCTGTCTCCACTCTCTTATCTGGGATTAGCTTGTCTAGGCTGACAGAGTGGTGTGTATGTTTTTGTTTGTGTGTGTGTGTGTACAGTGTGTGTGTACCGTGCGTGTATGTGGTAAAGGGAGTTAAAAAAGCAGTGTGTGCAATTTCCACTGAAGAATAAGCTTTTATTGTAAGACACACTCTCAGCTGATTGGATGCTTGCACATCAAAGTGGCAGGTGATTGGGTAGACAAACATCCAGCTGTGGAAACAAATGATTCGCCGGCATCTTCCTCTGCTGTGTTTGTTTACTGAGAATAAGAACGAGAGCAGAGACGGAGGACAGAGTAGAGACAATGTTCTACAGAACTAAGTTTATAATACAGCCTGTAGTGTTTGTGTGTAGTGTAAGTAATTGGGAATCAACTGCATGTGGAGATAGAAATTTGGTTGTAGATCAGGGAGCCGGGTTCAGTCTAAAATCAATTTGTCTCAAATCAAAGCTGATTCACACTCAGCGTGTTTGTAAATGTTTATTGGAACTGGGATATTGTCTCTTTTGGCTCGGCTCATTTAGTCAAATTAGAACAATGCCAAGTTGCGTGGCACCAAATAACCTAAACACGGTGAAAAGCTGCTTGATGCTGTGTGACGCTGATATCCAGATGTTTGGTGTGAGGTTCAATGTCCTGAGGTGCTCAGCTGTGCTCAGCTTTTGCAGGAGTTGTGGTCACGTTATATACAAAGACGTTTGCTGACATGAGCTCAAAGTATGACGGAGTTTTCCTCACATGAAGAACTCAGCAGGAGATTGTCCATGTTGGAAACATTGGAAACCACTCGATGCCACTAAATCCCACCCACTGCTCCTTCAAGTTGTAATCAACAAAGAGGTTTATTAAATTAATGAGTCCACTATACTCCCAGCCCTGTTCCGTTCATCTTCTTCACTCTGTTTCACTCTGCCCTTTACCGCAGTCCCTCGTTTTTCTCCCACACATTCCCTCCATCTACCTCCCCCACTTAAAGAGAGGTCGAAGATTAATTACGTCTCCTGTGGATTACAAACGTGTTGAAGCCATGATTGAGGCATGGAGGAGGAAATGACGGAGACATAAGGCCACACCAAGGTCACCTCTTTCAACTTAGATCAGTTCATTTCTCCCTCCAGGGTGGAGGATGGATGGATGGATGGAGGGATGGATGCTGGAGATAAAGGAAGAAGGAAAAATAATGATGGGAAGAGGGGATGGGAAAGTGGAAAAAGAGTATAACATCTTGATTGGATAAGGAAACATTTGCCAAAATGGCTCCAACAGCAGGGACATGGAAGACTGGAGAAGAAAAGAAAGGGAGGAAGAAACTAATACGATGAGGAGCAGTTCATCTCTGGACAGATGAGACGATACTAATGACCTCAGACATCTGTTCTCCGAGATCTTGTGCCGTTGTTGTGGACGCAGCATGTGGACTTGACACACACACACACTTTTTTTGTTCAGACTGAGCACACGTGACGCCACACACACTCTTACACAATAAGCCCAAATGGAGACATGCTGTATCTTGGCGGCTTAAACACACACTACTGGCTCAGGGGTTTGAACAAGTCCAGAGCCTGTGTCACTGATACAGTGGTGGATTTAATACACACTGATAAGCCAGCTCCGAATAATCTTCACTCTCTGTCCCTCTTTCTCTCCTCCTGGCTTCATTCTCTCCCTCCTTCGCTCTGTCATCCTGCCTCACTCTCTCTTATCTCCTCTCAAACGTGTTAGATAAGAATCAAGATCAAAATTCAAAGGAGCCTCAGATATTCCTTCATCTTGACTGGAGACATTTAGAGTTTCTCATTCTCTCGTCCGTGTTCTGGTTTCTGAAGTGTCCGATCGAGATGTCACTTCTTCGAAAACCCTCCTGAAATTATTTCACCCTCATGTATGTCAAAACGTCTGTTGTTGTCTTCTCAGTTTATCACTTCAATTAGTGGAAGATTGGATTCTGCCATGAGAGTACATTTAAAAGCTTCCAAGGCTTTATCCGACGGGTCGCCACATCACAACACCAGTTTGGCACTTGCGCTTACGTTCACATATATTTGCGCACACAAGCTCACAAACTGCTGCCGAGACTGTGACATTCATTTCAGAGTAAGAGACCTGAATTTAGCCTGCCACTAAAACCCTCTGAAATGTCTACGTGCTGTTGTGTTGCATATGCACACTGACCCATTTTCCCTCATCTGTCTTTTTGTGTTTGTTACGTGCCTGATGTTGTGTCGTCTCCAGTGAGAGATTATGTGTGTTCGCCAATGTTTGGTCCTGGACGTATGTGGCTACTGGAAAAAAAACATATGCACCTTAAAGGTTAAAGCAATCTGGTGGAGTTTTAGCTATAAACCCACTTCGCTGTATGTTTCAAACTTCTACTGATGCTCGAGATTGGCTTTTTCAAATGTTGCTGTGTCCAAATATTATCTTGGAGATCACACTGATGCTTGTCACAATGCCACATAGCATATATGCATGTCTTTCCTTTCCAGGCCAACCCTGAAGGACATGTTAGTCTACTACTTTTATTACTTATTGTATTTCTGGGTTACTCAAATTGTCTCAGGGCTCAGGTGGCTGATGTTTCTTCACCCTGTCACAGATCCTCAACGTGTCAGACATGTTGGATCCTGACCTACCATTTTGTAACATACATAAATGACTAGGAAGGAGACGCCAGTGACCTTCCCACTCAGGATTAATGATTTCTTAACACCCAATCGAGTCGGCTTATCACCGGGCTGATATTATGTCTGATCCCAGGATTAAGGAGGAAGATGGTTGGGTGAACAAAGCTCGTAAATATGACACAGAAGATAGGCGTCAATTTCAATTTCTGTAAACCAAACGATCTTTCCCTAATCCTAACTAATCCCAAGTTTTTCATCTCGTGTTGTATAGATTTTTGATATTAAAATAAAATAATTATTTATGTGTGTAATACTCCTGATGTGTCGTTTTCTTAGTTTTAAAGCCATATGTGATATTTGAAGAACTTACTTGAGAACTTGAGGACAGACACAACCAAAAGAGGGAAAAAATCAATGCAAAGGAAATCGAGGGAGAGTGAGAGAGAGAGATTGTTAGGATAGAGTGAGGGAAAAACGTGAAGGAAAGAGAAAGAGATTGATGGTCAACCACTCCACACTCCACTGCCCTATAATTACTGAGACCACACCACGCTGTTCATCACCTGCTCCTGTGTGTGTGTGTGTGTGTGTGTGTGTGTGTGTGTGTTATGGATTTAAGTGTGTCCACACCCGGGGTTAGTAGTGCAGGTATTGAAGGAAAAAGAAGAAGGAGCCTTTCATGGAGGTTGGTACCTAAAATGACAGAAACCATCTTTGAGAAAAATGTATTCAACATTGGACTTTGTCCCGTTCACTAACATGGAGGAGGTGGGATTTATGGACTATACTCAGCCAGCCACCAGGTTGCTATAAACACACTTTGGCTACACCTGTAGGAAGCTGTAATTTGGGCCATCTTCATATACAGTCTATGGATGTTACCAGCCATTCTTGAGGGCCCCTTTAAGCTCAGGGCCCCAGACAGTTCCCTGCTTTAGTGTCTTTGAGAAAGACCAGCGACCTGTTTGTGAAACAACACTCATTGATCCACAGCTGTTGCCTGCAGGTCACCATCTGTCCGTCCTTGCTGTGGTCCCTCCAGATGAAGAATGACAGGGATGTCTGATTCACTCTTAGACTAAAAGGTTGATTCATTTGTGGACTGATTGTTTTGTCAAAAGACGGGTGGACTGACTCGTTCATGGACTGTTTACTGACAACTGTTCCCTTGAAACGTCTGAAAGAGGAACGACAAAACATGTTCAAATGCATTTTCAAGGATGTTCTGTGAGATGAGTCGTTGCTGGAGTAAATTGATGTTCCAGACGGGTCAGAAACGATTTTTGGATAAACTTGTTTTATTTCATGCAGCAGAGTATTGAGGACTGATTCGGCTCTGTGTGTGTGAGCCTGTTAAGATTGTGGAAGATTATGTGACTCTGGTGTAATTGTCTGTGTCCAAAAAAAAAAACAGCTAATGAGAGCCACACACTGCGGCTACGTTTGAAGATGCACGGATGAATGACAGGCTGCGTCTCTCTGCTGCGTGTGTGATATTTCCCACAGTGCACTGAGAGTGTCTGATGTTCCTGCCTCGGTTTGGGATTCAGAGTGTGTGCACGTCAAGAGTGTGTAGTGGCACAAGAGTTCCCATAGGCTTGGATGCATACTGTCCTGGTTACAAAACTGTGGGTCACGTGTGTGTGTGTGTGTGTGTGTGTGTGTGTGTTTGTGTGTGTGTGTGTGTGTGTGTGCGCTGCAGGGTTTTTATTTATTTTTTTGCACAGGAGCTTGTTTGATCTCATCAGTTTCAAAACCCAGTGTGTGTGTGCATGTGTGTGAGTCTTGATATGTGTGTGATGTTCTGTATACAGGCAGCGTTGCACAGAAGTCCCCTGAGCTCAGACCGTATCACTTTCAGCGCTCGGACCCATCCGCTCATGCACGCGCACCTTGCTTGGCTAGCAGCCTGTCGAGAGGAGCCGCTGCGACCCTGACCTATGAGAGCTCGGCCTTCTGGGCACACTCAGTGAGCAGCAAGAGATAACACACACTCACACCTCTGGAGGGAAAGAGATATGTGTGTGAGCTTGTGTGTGAGAGGGGATATTTCTTCATGCCGGCCACAGTCACATTGTCAATTTAGCAGCTGTCAGATGAGAAAATGATGATTTAATTGTCTCTTGGGATTTTATTCATTATTAATTACCCTTTCGTTTGTGTGTTTATGTGTATGATGCGGCTTTAGTTTGTTGATGTGTTTTTAACTTGTTCCTTTATCTTATTTTAATCATTTTTATGTGGAGACCAGCCACAGCAAATAAATAAAGATCTAGAATCTTTCTCACACACACACACACACACACACACACACACACACACACACACACACTCACACTCACACACTCACACACACACAGTATAAAGTGATGACACTGACAATGGCATTTAGAAAGTGACAGAAGTTTGTAGAGGGATGAAGGAGATTTAAAGGGATGAAGCAAGAAAAGTCTCAGAGAATATTCAGTTGAATAAAAGCCACATCAGCAAAATGGAACCAAAGATGAAAAGGGAGAGAAGGAATAAAGAATTACTTCTGGATAACCACTTTATCAATGTTACGACTGACAGAGGATAAAGAGAGCGAGAGAAAAAGAGAGAGAGAAAATCAGGTATAAAAAAGAGAAGAGATAACGGAGAAAGAAATTCACGTATGGGGAGGTGCTGGGCATGAACAGACTGTATATATTAACCCAAACGAAGTTATAAATACCATAACATCATCATATAATATTAGGTTGAATAGCTCATCCTCTGAAACTAGCACCACAAAGGATATTTGTTGCAGTTAAGGGAGAACACAGTCTGAGGGAGTCGGGGGTTGAACCACCCAACCGTCTAGTTCGTGGACGACCCGCTCCACCTCCTTTAGTCCCCTGAGGGAGACAAACCTCCTCATACAGACTCAGAAGATCTTCACATGCACACCTGACTTCCTTTGTTTGTCATTACTACTATGGCTGTAGAGGTCGTCTAATAAAACATATCTATGGGTCCAAGTTTGTCCAACTAAGTGTCCAAGTTCCCTTCTAGTATTAGAAATGTATTTATTCAATAGGTCTGATTGTTGCAGACTGAACTAACCAACAATGGGCTCATCAACCTTCTCCAGTGGACTGTGCCCATGTGTTTATTTGTGTTTAGCTCGGACTGAACTGACATCTCAGCAGGAACTCCTGCTCTTTCAGTTATTTCCATCCAGTCCATTTTTTCTCTCATTTTCATGCAGATGTGTCACAGAAAGCTGATGCACTTGCATCAATTCGCAGCACCCGGCCCACTTCCTCCCTTTCTACCTGAACACATGGCAGGAGTGAATCAGCGTTAACGTCTAGTTCAGCTGACGAGTTAAAGGTTACAGTTTGAACTCCCTGTTTTTAAATCAGCACCCGTTCCTCTGGCTTCCCCGTGCTGTGATTTCCCAATGGACAAAGAGAAACGCCTCACCTGCACGGACAGAAAAGAATAAGAAAGAAAGGGACAAAAGAGAGAGCGAGAGAGAGAGAGAGACCAAGAGTTTGTGCTCATGTAAACATTTGCAGACACAGAGGGAAAGAGAGTGGGAGAGAAATGGCTCTATTCAGTCATGGCAGACTGTGTGGGAGGGACGGAGAAGCGGGGAAAGTAAAAAAGTGACATAAGCCAGGTAGAGGGTCTGGTTTTATAATTCATGTGTTCATTGAAGTGTGTGTATGTGTGTGTGTGTGTGTGTGTGTGTGTGTGTGTG